CAGGGTGGCACTGGTGACACTGGGAGCGGGTCCCCATGGCCCTGGTGACGCTGGCAGAGTCAGGGTGGTGCTGTAATCCCATAATCCCTGTAATCCCCCAATCCCCATTAATTAACCCCGTTAATTACCCGGTTAATTAACCCCCAGTTAGGTGCTGCGCTGGGCCAGTGTGTCAGAAATCCCCAAATCCTCGTAATCCCTTCAATCCCAAAATCTCCATAATCCCATAATCCCCATTAATCCCATTAGTGAATCCCATTAATTAACCCGTTAATTACCCCGTTAATTACCCCCCAGGAAGGTGGTGCGCCGGGCCAGCGTGTCGGAAATCCCCTAAATCCCCAAACCCTGTAACCCCATAATCCCAAACCTCCATAATCCCATAATCCCCATTAACCCCATTAATTAATCCCATTAATTAACTCATTAATTAACGCTGTTAATTACCCCCCAGGAAGGTGGTGCGCTGGGCCAGCGTGTTGGAAATCCCCAAATCCCAAAACCCTGTAACCCCATAACCCCATAATCCCCATAATCCCATAATCCCCATTAATCCCATTAGTGAATCCCATTAATTAACCCTATTAATTAACGCTGTTAATTACCCCCCAGGAAGGTGGTGCACCGGGCCAGCGTGTTGGAAATCCCCTAAATCCCCAAACCCTGTAACCCCATAATCCCAAACCTCCATAATCCCATAACCCCATAATCCCCATTAATCCCATTAGTGAATCCCATTAATTAACCCCATTAATTAACGCTGTTAATTACCCCCCAGGAAGGTGGTGCGCCGGGCCAGCGTGTCGGAAATCCTCAAATCCCCAAACCCTGTAACCCCATAATCCCAAACCTCCATAATCCCATAATCCCCATTAACCCCATTAACTAATCCCATTAATTAACTCGTTAATTAATGCTGTTAATTACCCCCCAGTTAGGTGGTGCGCCGGGCCAGCGTGTTGGAAATCCCTGTAATCCCATAATCCCAAACCTCCATAATCCCATAATCCCCATTAATCCCATTAGTGAGTCCCATTAGTGAATCCCATTAATTAACCCCATTAATTAGCCCGTTAATTGCCCCCCAGGAAGGTGGTGCGCCAGGCCAGCGTGTCGGAAATCCCCTAAATCCCCAAACCCCGTAACCCCATAATCCCAAACCTCCATAATCCCATAATCCCATAATCCCCATTAACCCCATTAACTAATCCCATTAATTAACCCCGTTAATTAGCCCGTTAATTACCCCCCAGGAAGGTGGTGCGCCGGGCCAGCGTGTCGGAGCGCTCCAGCCTGTACCGGCGGGAGCAGCGGCGCGAGGCCATCGTGTGGGGGACACAGGGACAGCGCGACAGCGAGGACGACGACAGGGGGACAGCCGAGGGCACGGACACGGCGAGACAACACCAGGGACACGGGGTCAGGGACACCTCAGGGGACAATGGGGACACTGGGGACATTGGGGACATTGGGACATTGGGGACATTGGGGACACTGGGGGACATTGGGGACAATGGGGGACATTGGGGACAATGTGGACCCTTGGGGACAACAGTGGTGGGAGGAGTCTCAGGGCCAGGCTGACCCCGGTGACACCGGGAGGTGACAAAGGTGACGCTTGGTGACATCACCCACAATGTCCCCATTGTCACCCCCCTCCTTTATTTCATTTTTTAAAATTTTTTTTTGTCCCCTCAGGACCCCTCGGACCCCCCCTCCGTGTCCCCACACCCCAACGGCTCCGCCTTGTCCCCCGTGTCCCCTGTGTCCCCTCAGGTGACAAAAGCCACCCCTGCAGGTGACAAAAGCCACCCTCACACCTTGGCCGACCTCAAACGGCTCCGGGCGGCCACCAAAACCCAACGGAGCCTCCCCGAGACCCCCGACCCCAAAACAAAAACCCCAAAAAACCCCCCCGGGGACAGCGGGGACACCCCTGGGGACATCGGGGACACCCTCGGGGACACCCCTGGGGACACTTTTGGGGACATCGGGGACCCCCCCCTGCTGCGCCTGACGGCTCCGCTCGAGGAGGCCCCGCCCGACAAGCAGCGCTGTTGTAGGGTCATGTGACCAAAAAAAAAACCCCAAAAAAATTTTTTGGGG